AAAAAAAAAAAAAAAAAAAAAAAAAAAAAAAAAAAAAAAAAAAAAAAAAAAAAAAAAAAAAAAAAAAAAAAAAAAAAAAAAAAAAAAAAAAAAAAAAAAAAAAAAAGCTTCAAGCCATTGAAAAGCTTGAAATCAAAACAGAAATTTTAAAGAAAAGCAGGATGTGAAAATAAAGTAGAGGAGAAGAAAAGGAAAGCGAGGTAGTGGAGAAGTAGAGAAAAGTGAAAGGAAGGGCTCTGGTTCTGAAAACACTTGCGCTTAAACCAAAATGGCACCCCAAATTTTAAGCCAGGAAATTTAAACTGCTGGAATATTTCATCCTGAACAATTTATATTTTTCAAGCAAAATAACCCCTTTGTGTCCAAATTATCTGAATAATTATGGCAATTCCTTTCTTTTACTTGCCCTATAGGCACTGCTGAAATACCAACAGGAGTGGCTCACTGAGTTCACAGGGCCTTCCGGAGACTTCTCACAAAGCCGCTAGATGGCATGAGAGCACTGCACTGGACCCGCTCAGCCACACGGCCGCGTGTAACATTGAGGCATTTATTCTCTTCATGCTGAGAGCTCAGTGTTTAGTCAAGTAAGATGCGTTCTCTTTTAGAGAGATCTTTCTGTGTTGCATGACACTTTTCAGGACACAAAGGGGGTATTCCGCCCTCCCCATACACACGCTAAGAAAATGTCGAATTAAATTTGGAATAGTAAAAATCATTTCAGTATTTACTGGGGCTTCCTGAGAACTTTACCTTTCAGCTCTTTAGGGGATAGTCTGCTATTTGTTATGCAGCCTTCCTTAATAGGTAGTTAGAGGGGAAAAGTCCCTTCAGCATTATGCCTGTGCTCAAACAACTGCAGACAAAGTTTGCATATTCTCAGTCATCTCTCTCTTTCTCTTGATTTTTTTTTTTTTTCATCAAAAATTCTCTTTGTTTTTCTTCATCTGATATTGTGGGGTCCCTCATTAAGGACTGTAATATGAAAAGCTGGATTTAAAACTGCTGTCAGAAAGAAGGTTGTCCTCTTTTAATATTCTTTACCAGCAAAGCAAAAGGAACTGTCTTTGTTCTTGCTTTTTAAATGCAATGTTTTTTGCTTTATTTAATGTTTCAGCCACATCACTAGGCACCTTCTAATCTACCCTCCCAACTTTGAGATATACTTTTATATTTGGTGTCTTTGCAGTTTCCCAATATATGCATGAGGCATCTCTCTGTGCCTCCACAACAGGACTAATTACCATATTCTTCCAGATATTATCACTATCTCCCTTCACAAAATATCCATTGTAAAAGCTGTTTTGATCTTTTGGATAAGTGCCTTAATTTAAAATAATAGCAAAAAGGTAAAATTAGGCCTGTATGCTCAGCAGTGCATGAATGACAAATCTGTTGTAGTTTGGGGTATATTTTTAAAGATTCCTTTTAAAACCTCTTATAGAAATTTACATATGATCAAAAATGATATTACACATTGGCGAACTGAAGTGCATAATTTACTTCATGTGCTACTGATATAGTTATGTTTATACATATAATGGGTTCTACAGTTTTGATATAATATCATACCAGTTCAAAAACTGAAAGATTTTTAAAAGCATGTTTTTTCAGTTTTTATTCACCCCTGAAAAGTTATTTTTATCCTGTATAGTGTCTCAGAGCAAGATGTATCATTTTTAATGTACACTGTTAGCCCTAATATCAATGAATTTATGAAAACCAGAGATTTTATGAGGGCATTCAACTAAAATATTCGGTAAGATAAGAATTCAATAATGTAGTTATACCTCTTTAAAATGCAAATATTGGAGAACAAACGGGCAACTTGGCAAAACTTGATAGTGTTGCATTTTTGTTTTTATCCTGTGTAGTTCTGGTTTATAAGAACATGTTAGTTTGTCATATGAATAGATGAAATGAGTCATATGAATTATGTTTTAATTGGTTCTAATCTTTGATATCATTGAAATCTTCACTTTGGATATAATCCCCCCAAATCCATGATTATTATTTTACAATGTGTTGCTATAAAGCAGACAGATAAAGATATCTTGAAATAGGAGCCCCATGTGTGCACAGCTGATTTGTTTTCCTCTTAGACATTATATGTAATTCAAGTAACAAGTTAGTCAATTTATTATAAGGAATATAAAATAAGCCCTATACTTTAATCATTTTAAAGTAAATGATTCTGTATATCTAAAACAATTTACAGAAATATAATTTTAGCTGGTTGTGAATGGCCACTAAGCTTTTCTGTGACTGACAGCCAACTGGTTAACATCAGCGAGACATTAAGCTCCTTTGTGCTTGAAAATCCACCTGGGAGTGTATATATGTGCTCTAAAGCTGCCCACTCAGCTCTGTTTGATCGCTTGCAGAAAACTAATAGCTTCTCACTGATTCTGAGAGGGGTATTACCTCCATAATGGATTACAATGAAATATTTCAATGAAAATCCTTTCTAAAACTTATTTTTTAAAAATTTGGACTTCTATGTAAATAAATG